ATTATTATCATGGTTATTATCCTTATTGTTGTTGTTGTTATTGTTTTCAGTATTCTTATCAATATCATTATCACAATTATCAATATTTTTATTATCATTATCATTAGTATCATTTTATTCATATTATTGTGATCATTATCATTATTGTCATTATTCATATAATTATTCTTATCATTATCATTATTATTGTTATTGAAATCATAATTATTTTTTATCAATATCGTCTTTATTATTTCCATTATAATCATTATTATTACTATCATTATTATCATTACTGTCTTTATAATAGATATTTTCATTAGTAATAGTAGTAGTAGTGGCAGTACTATTGTTATCATTATCATCTTCATTATTATTATCATCATTATTGTCATTATTGATATGATAATGATAAAAATTATAAGAGTAATTATTGTTATTATTACCATTATTGTTTGTGATATTCTTATAATTGTTATTATCATTATTATCATTGACGACGCTGTTTTTTTTTTATGATTTTGATTATGTTATCCCTCATTCCTTTTCCCTCTCCCTCTGTTTCTCGTTTCCCTCTGCCCCCTCCTTCCGATCCCAATTTTTATTTTATTTCACTCCTCCTTTCCCGCTTTCAGCCCTGCATCCGCTCCCTCCCATTTCCCTCCCCCTCTTTCGCTCCCTCGCGCTCTTCTCTCCCTTTCACCCTCCCCTTTTCTTTCCGAGCGCCCTTTCCCGTCCCTCTCCCGTCCCTCTCCCTATTCCCTTGCCCGTCTCCCTTCCCTGTTTTAGTTCCCTCCGTTTCCTCTCTTCCGATTCCCAATCCCCCTTCTCTCTTTAAGCCCCTTCACTTCTCTTCTCTTTAAGCCCCTTCCCCTCTCTTCTCTTTCTACCCCTTTCCCTCTCTTCCCCCCTTTCCTCTTTAAGCCCTCTTCCCCCCCTTTTCTCTTTCAGCCCCTTCCCCCCTCCTTTTCTCCCCCTTCGGACAGTCGGTCCAGTTCACCTTGGTCCAGCTACTCCAACGCAGTGACACCTCGAGGAAAAAAAAAATCATAATATACTACTTGTCCATCCGTCCCGCTTTTCAGCCTGAAATAGTGTTCGATGTGTCTACGGCCTTGAAGGATCTTCCTTTTGATGTATGAGAGGCAAGCACACATACCTGCACACACGCGAGGGCATCATGTTACGAATCTATGGGAATCCTATTCTAACTCTATTGATATCATCATTTCTGTCACTGTTGTTATTGTTATGTTTACAATCATTGCTGGTATTATTGTCATCATTATCATCATCATAATCATAATTATGATTATGTTTATGATAATGACAATGATTATGATTATGATTATGATTATGATTATGATTATGATTATGATTATGATTATGATTATGATTATGATTTTATGATTTATGATTTTGATTATTATTACTATCACTATTATTGTTGTTGTTGTTGTTGTTATTATTATTATTATTATTATTATTATTATTATTATTATTATTATCATTATTATCATTGTTATTATTATTATTATTATTATTATTATATATTATTATTATTATTATCATCATCATTATCATCATTATTTTTTTTTCATAACTGAAACAACCGTCTGTTTATGCACTTCACACGGACATATACTGGGTAGGGGGAAAGGGAGGAGGCAGGGCGAGAGGCTCAGAGGAAGAAAGGGGATGAAAGAGGAAGGGAAACGGATAAGGAAGTGAGGTAGGTGACGAGGAGAGAAGTGGGAGGAGGCAGAGGAAGGGCGTAAGTGGGAAGGGAGGAGTGAATTTAAGGAAGATTTGGGAGTGAGAGGGGGTGGCAGAGCAGGAAAGGGAAAGGTAAAGAGAGAGGTAAAAAAAAAAAAAAAAAAAAAAAAAAAAAAAAAAGAGGATAGGAGGACGAAACGTAGAAGGAGAAGGGGAGAAGCAGAAGTAATGGTAATGAAATTGAAATAAGATGGTAACAGATTCGTAATATGATGATCTTATGCATATGTGTGTGTCATCCTTTAATATCATCACCCTCTTTTAAATACAAATGAAATGACAGTCACATGGAATATTTTTCAGACATTCAATTACAGATTATTCATAAAAATGAAGCAGCTTCAAATCCGTAGTCAGATGGAATATTTATGTTACAATCATAATTAC